TATATATATATCATCGTCGTTGAACAGCCGATCCAATTTTCGAGTTAACGACTATTAATCTTCAACTAAGTAGTCTTGTAATTTTGAGCCCAATCCAGAAGACAAGGGAACTCCTGGATCAAGTATTTGGAAAAATTCGTCTTCGTGGAGGACTTTTTGAGGAAACTAACCAGCATTTGCTTTACATTGAGAGGAAGACCACGAGAACCTCCTATGGTTAGTCTGACGGCAAGGGGACCCGAACCTATGATCCGCCTACCACTGATGATATTTTACGTTAGCCCTGTGGTCGTTGCGAGTCGGTGCGGTATTCGAATCGACCAGCTATCGCTGGGATCGAACCCGGGTCACCTCATTGGGAGGCGAGTGCTCTATCCCCTTAATATTTTGAAGGAAAAAAAATCTTCCCTATGCAGTTTTAAAAGAAATGTAGAGTTTGTAAGGTAATTGATATTAACTACGTAATTACGATATTAATATTCATTAGCCTTGGCATATTTCTTATGCATGCTTAATATCTGCCACATATTTATTGTAAAAGACAACTATTTAGGAACTGTAGTATTATTTCAAAGGAAATGTATAACTACATTTAGGAAACTGTAGTAATAGTTGATTTTATTACTTTAAAACACAAATTCGAATACATGCTCAATATCTGCTACATAGTTATTGCAAAAGACAACTATTTAGGAACTGTAGTATTACTTTGTGGGAACAGTAGTATTACTTTTAGGAACTGTAGCACTCCCTGATTTTATTACTTCGAAGAACCTATTCGAATTCATGCTCAATATCTGCCACATAGTTATTGTAAAAGACAACTGTATAGGAACTGTAGTATTAATTTAAGGAAACTATAGTACTACTTTTAGGAATTATAGTACAACTTTCTTTTATAACTTTGAAGCACCTATTAGAACTTTCATGAAGTACTTACTTTACCAGAAGTGCTGATTCCTTTCCATAAGCTGAAGTAACAAATGAGGTAGACAGCAATCAAGCACAAACACATCTCCCACTTGACGTGCCCCAAGTCATCTATTCCAGGACTTTCACTCAATTCTAAAACAGCTCGGCTAAAATAAACACCCAATCAAAGCTCAGAGTAAATATAGCCAATTTTAAAAAATGTATGAGTAATTCTGCACTAAGCTCGAATGTTCAAAAATGAACTGTAAAATTTAATTGAAATGCAACTTTTAAAAAAGTATGATTTAAAGTATTTTAGGTTATTTTCACTATTCAAGAGCTTAAGTTTCAACGAAAAACTAATTTAAGGAGAAAATTGACATCTTGTAGTAGTAAAACATCTGTTTTCATAAATCCGTTTCCCTATCCTTTCCCCAAAAGTAAGAAAAGATGTATGGTTGCAACTTATAAAAGTGTCGTAAGATAGTATAATTATTTCGATTTTTATACCATTTGTTTGTTTTGACCGGAATACGATCATTGGATCAGAAAAAAAAACTTTGCATTAGTTTGTAAATGATTAATTTAAAAAACACCAATATTTGGGAACAGGCAATATTCCTAATCAGCTTTGGATTAGCTGGATTTTACAGTAACATCAATTGTGCAGCATGGTGTTTAATATTTATATACGAAGAGTTTATAACCGTCTTTGAACTGTTGACCCAATTTTGAGTTTACATTTACCAATGATCCACTCCGTAATCTTGTAATTTTGAACTCAATCCAGAAGACAAGGTAACTCCTGGGTCAAGCATTAAGGCAAACTAGCCTTGGTGGAGAACTTTTTGATAAAACTAACCCGTATTTGCTTTACTTAGAGAGAAAAATATATACAAAGGTTGTAAAACTCGCATTTCTTACGTTGAAAATAATTTTAGAATATCTTTACAAAAATGATGGCAACTACTTTGCACCAAAAGTGATGCAATGAAAAACAAGGAATAGTTCTCGATATACACTGTAAAAAATTTGGTGTATAGTTGCAACCATTTTTTATGTAGAGGTTAACGTTTTACAGTACATGAAATCACATTTTTTATTTACTTTTTCACTGTTATAGTTTTCTTCCTTTCTTCATTCATGTTTTGTTTGTTTGCTTACTCACAACACACATTTTTACGCGCATTAGAATCAATTTAATGGCTTCATTACAAAACATTTCGTTTAAAAAAAAACAAGCACATTTTTAGTGACATATAATTTTTTCAAATAATTTCTATTTTGTCTTTATAATTTTTTACTAGATAACCATAGTTTTGTACTTAAAAATGTATTTAATTTACCTGAACACAGAAAAAGAGGGACAGCTAATCACCAAAATATTCTACTGTGTATTTAACTCTACAAATGTTCCAATACACTTCTTTTGGTGTAAAGTAGTTGCCACCAGTTTTGGTGTTTAATAACGCCAATACTTGTGACAACAAAGCATGAAAATAAGATATAAACTCACATAAAAGGCAATAAAGTTATTTTTACGATACAATTCACAGAAAGAACCATCAATTTAAATTGCGTTCACCTTCACTTAACGATTCTTGAAATAAAATTAATTTATTTATGAATTCAATAAACATCACAGAGAGAATATTAAAACAAATTTGAATTAAGTTTAACAGAACAGAAGCTGTTATCGGAATTATACCTTATATAATTATTTAATATAATCTAGAGATTTAATCAAATCTTCTCGTGAGAACATAATTATTTTTATTACACAATTAAAACATACATGTCTCTTGTAACAGTAATCTGTTTCTGTGAAATATTTATCTAGCACCATGCGAGACGCCACAACACCTCCTAGAATGGAGAAGGCTTCTACACTGATCAATTAAATAGTCCCACGTAACGAACTGAGCAGTAGAGGAAAATAAGAAATATGTCACTACGTTTATGTTACTACGTTTGGCGCAATGGAGGAAAAATACGAAAGTTGTCACAACGATCAGGCTACTAAAGTATCGGATTTCTCGTTAATAGTGGGGAGACCTTCTCTCTTTCTGGAAGGTGTTAGACGACATTTTCTACACAAGTTGATAGCAAGCAATCTATGGTTTACATCGGACGAATTCCGCACGTCCGCCAAAATTGGTATTTTCGAAGATAAAAACAATTCATGAGTAGCATAAAGTCATGTGAGCTTGATGTAAGCATTCACCATTATTGATTGGTGATTAGATTTAAATACACTCTTTTAAGTGATCTGAAAGCTCGATTCGTTGTTAAACTTGAAATAATGTATTCGTTCACATTATTTTTGGAGTTTTTCTTATTCCAAATTCGGAAAGGACATCTTCACGCACACAGAATTTACATTGCAATATAAATATATTTTATATTTATTTATGATAAGTCATAAAAACAATTCCACATTATGAATATATTTATTTTTATTTATTTATTAATTATTATATCAATTATTATTATCAAGCAACGTTCTTAAATAGTTCAGATGAGCAGGATTCTTCACTAATAGCAGTTGTGTAGCAATATAATTTTGTTCGATTTTATCTCATATATTATACAAAGAAATATCTTTTCATTAAAATTTCTTTTTAGATTTAATTTATATAGTGTCAGGAATTCATTACCATGAGATTGTCTAATAATCAGAAAAGATAATGTTTCCAATCAGTTTGGAGTAACCTTATTTAACAGAAGCAACAGTTGTGTAGTATAGAGTTTAGTATGTTTAAGGAAGTTTGAAAGACTCTGAAATTTTTCAATATATTTATTTTATATTTCTGATTTAAGCATACAAACACACTTTCATAGAAACTCTGCTATTTCTTTACAGAAATTTCCAATTAACCCGAACAGGCATTTTTTCCAATTTTACAATAATAACGAATGTGTTGTTTATTTAATGTATAAGACTCTTAAAATCGTTAATATTTTTTATTTATGTATAAATAGGACCACATAACTCCATTAACACTTTCTTATTTTTTTTGATTAATTGCAAACAGGATTTTTTGGCTGATTTGAAAAGTCAATTTTCCCTGTTTAGTTCTGGTTCAATGGATTCGACTACCCTAGCAGCAAAATAACTTGGGTCCTCATTGGACCTTTAAGGGCTTAAAGGGCCGATATTTTTCCAATATGTGCCCTATATAGAATTGTCAAATTCACGCGATATTTTATAATCATTATTCAGCCCTATATAGACCGATATTAACACTGCATAAGACCAATGTTTCGTTTTATTTTGTATCGGTCCTTGAACAGCCGACCCAATTTTGGGTTTACGACTATTAATAATCAACTCCGTACCCTTGTAATTTCGAACCAATCCAGAAGACAAGGAAACTCCTGGATCAGTACCCCCAGAGGTAGTTGTTGTTGACGTATTCCTGTTTAGGCAGAGGGAGTGCGATTGTTCTTGTTTTCCAGTGGCGCCATCTATGGCGGGNCATGCTTTGTTGTCACAAGTATTGGTGTTACTAAACACTAAAAATGGTGGCAACTATTTTACACCAAAAGAAGTGTAATGGAACATTTGTAGAGTTTAAGGGCCGATATTTCCCGATATGTGCCCTATATAGAATTGTCATATTCACCCGATATTTTATAATAATTATTCACAGCCTATATAAGCCTTTATAATCATAACTCAGTCAATATAAGCATTATTCAGCGCTCAGGCCGATATTGACAAATCTCTACATCCCTATATTGGTCCCTCGGTGCATGTTCATGTAGAACTCATATTGAGCCAATTTTGAGCCCAACTGGGGCCAATGTATAATTGTTGCTAGGGGTATGCTAGAAATAGGGGAGAATGTTCAAGTTATTTCGTTTTAAGATAAGATCAATACAAATATATTTTTTTCTCACTTGAAATATTCTTCAGCGGGGGAAGTTCTTATGTGTTCGTTGTGAAGAATGCCGGAAACAGTTGTGCTTTCGTTGACCGAACGAGAGGCATTGAGTGGCGGCAACTCGCGACATAGTGGGGTGTTCCACGGGTTGTCGCATGTTGTCCAAGGCAGGACACTACTGAAGGACGCAATGAAGAAGTACAATGACCAGGCGATAATGACATTATAGTAGAAATCGACATAGAATGAAATTAATACAACAGCATATCCCACACCTATAGATAAAAAAAGAAATTAATCGTTTATTTCTATCACATAATAATCACAAAATTCAAAACTAATATTGGGGAAAGACCATTAGACAATGCCAACCTTCAACTATCTAAAGGTATCTCAAGATTGAATCAAGTTAGCATGTCTTATATACTAGTGAATTGATATTTAATAATCGTAGTGGTAGTTACACCACAATACTCTTCTACCAGAATTTTTATCCGGGATAGAATTTGATGAACGGATATCATTAGTTGCTGTATCAGTGAAAGACTGCGAGAGCTGTATTAACGTCATCGGGTTTTTGAACTTTATCCATGAGAGCTGTATTAAGTTCATAGTTATGCATGAGGATTCTCCTACGTTGCTTTTAGCAGTTGAGTGGGTGTAGAAACCCGTTGTGCGTAAATGAGACTGAGAAGCAACAGCGCGAGGAGGACGATGACGCAGTCACAAATAGCGAGTCAACTTTTCAATGTGGACCATGCATCGAAGTAGTCGTGATCATATCAGGTCCGGGTCACCAATGAGGGGAAAGACTTTAAGACAATGCCAATATCCATCTATCAAAACGTACCTCAAGATTGAATCCAGTTAGCATGTCTTATATACTAGTGAATTTATATTTAATAATCTTAGTGGTAGTTGCACTAACTTGTTAAATTAATCTTGTTAAATTGAACCAGAACTTATTAAATTAAATAGATACACAGGGGTGGACAAAATAATGGAAACACTTCTATACTAATAAATTTTTTCATATTTCTCAGGAAATACACAACGAAACATTTTATAACATCATGTGATTTCTTATACATATCAATGAAGTTTTAAGCTTTTAGAGGTATGAAGAACTGACATGAGTTACAAACGGAAAATAATGTTTTTGAACACCCTATGCAAAAAAATGTAGTGATGGGTTTATTACTTGTGACAATTATTTTTGTTATCCTATGCAATAATTACACAAAATTTCGTTAGTCTAGCTAAAATAGTTATAGAGATATAGACATTTTTATCAAAAACTAATTTTTTTTTGTCTTGTGGTTTTTTACTATAACTTTAAAAATACGCAATAAAATTAAACAAAATGCTTAGAGCAATTTAAAATCAACTACAAATTTTTTGCTTTAAAATTTGAGAAAATTTCGTTTAAAACTACTCAAGATATGAGACATTAAATAAGTTCTTTTATGCTGCGCGTGCGAGGGGAAAAATTAAAAAATATATCTTAATTTTGTAGTGATTCAATCGTATTTGGCAACTATTGGAAAAAGTCCTATTTGAATATCGTACTATTTAAAAAGAAAGCTCAAAATGAAAAGGGGTTTTCTACAAATAATATTTTGTATATCAGGCAGAATTTAATAACAAAGGATAATACCTTACGAAATGTGATTTAATAAGGAAAGAAAAAAGAAGAAAATGATACTTTTATGGGGGATGATCCAAAACATTGCCGCGGCTATTTTTAATAAATCTCGTTTAATTGTACGAAAATAAATAAGTGTTTATCATTTTGAGCATTCTTTCAAAAAATACGAAAACTGCTTAAAAAACTGCTTGAAACTTTTTAAATATTTAAAATATATTTAAATCGGACTTTTTAGTTACCAAATGCGATTCACTACAAAATTAGGAAAATTTTTTTTTTAATTTTTCTCTTGCTTGGGCAGTTTAAAAGAACTACTTTAATTGGTTATATCTTGCGCAGTTTCGAACGAATTTTTCTCAAATTTCAAAAACAATATATATATATAATTAATTTGTCTAGTTTTAGTGAATATTTTTAAAATTAAAGCAAAAAAAAATTATCAAAAAATTAGTTTTTTTTAATAAAAATGTCCATATCTCCTGAAATATTTAAGCTGGGCTACGAAACTTTGCGTAATTATTGCATATAATAAACAAAATAACTGTCGTAATTTGTGAAAATAATCTTAATATGCCTATAATCCTCCTTATTTAATTTTTACAACAAAACTAATGAAAGATATTCACTCTATTTGACAACATCTTTCGGTACATGTAAAATATAAGCCACCAAATCTGAATCTGAGAAGCGAAGTGTAAGGCATTTTAGATTCTCTATTAATATTTTTCGGACAAAATTATATCCATACATTTCTGCGTAATCACCAGTTTTTGAAAGGTGGTTAAATCGTATACATTTACCTGTTATTTGATTTTTGATAAATATTTTTGTTTTTATGTAACTAACGCTAAAAGAATTTTTCAGCGTTATCCAAATCAGTTCTCATCAGTTCTAACTGTGACAAAATTCGATTTTTGAAAATCTAAAAACTTGTTGTCTATCGAAATAACATGCAGTTGCAGGCTTGTGTGCTCAATTTATGCTTATAAGCCTTTGTCAAATACGTATAGTCTCTGTACATGGATATTTTATTTTACATCCGTCGTTGAACAGCCGACCCAATTCTGGGTTTACGACTACTAATGTTCAATTCCGTAACCTTACAATTTTGAACCAATCCAGAAGACAAGGAAACTCCTGAATCAGTACCCCCAGAAGTATGATTGGGTATGGGAACATGGAGGACTTTGTGACTTGACAGATTTAACGCGCAACAGTCACCATTTACTACAAGGGGAGTCTTAGGCCGGCGGGGATCGAACCCAAGAATTCTTGGACATCTTCCCAGTGCCCTACCAACCAGACTATCCCACTCTGTACATAGATAGAGCAATACAGAAAAGTACAGCACGAAGATACATTCAGGGTACCTCGAACCCATTTGCATCGCTTTGTACGGCGTTTGGCAAGCAATATCGACCGGCCAGGGAGCCCCTCTGAAAACTGAGAAACATGCAGTTTTAAATGACTTACACAAAACCACAAATCGCATCATTTTATTGCTTTAAAATTTTGAGGAAAAATTCATAAAAGTACCAGAAATTCTCTCCAGTTCTCCTAATCTAATAAAGGAACTTCTTTATTTTCTACGTTATTTAAAAAGCATTGTGCTGTCTAACAATATCATCAATCGTTTGTTAAGTTAAAAAAAAAATCAAAAAACACAAATTCAAATTTAAGATAGCAAGGGTAGAACTCTCTTAAGTGTAAACTGGTTTCTGGTGTCTAGGTACCTTAAAGTGGCTTAATGTTACATCTGTATCTGATAGGAAGTTGTGGAGTTTACGTTTCTATTGCAAAAATAGTACGAGATAAGAGGAAGAAAAAAGTAAATTACCTAGTTGTAGAACATCATCTATTTAGTACCAGTATAGGCCTAGTAAACAATAATGTTACGAAAGTTTCTTTTTGTTTTGTTTTCTTTTTTTTTCCCTTGTTTTGTTTCTTTTTACTACTAATCTTTTTACTACTACTTTCTTTTTACTACTAATTTACTACTCTGAGACGTTAAAAAAAAGAAGGATGAACATCGAAAACTAAGGTATAATGAGATAACTAGTTTTTTCTAAGCCCGTTGTGTTTTCACAGTATAGAAAATCGTGAACCGATAAATACACCATGTAAGAGTTTTTGTTTCCTAGTATTTTTGTCTATCAGGTGTGCATTGCATGCATATTTAAACAATGATGCTTTACAGCATTGTAATTCCCTTACCCCCTACCTTTTTACAACCATTGTCGAACAGTCGATCCAATTTGAGGTTTACGACCACTAATATTTACCTTTTAATTTTGAATCCAATCCAGAAAAAGGGGAACTCCTAAATCAAACATTGGGTGAAATTTGCCTTCGAGGATGACATTTTTGATGGAACTAACCAGCATTGCATTACATGGAGAGGAAAACCACGAAAACCTCCCATGTTTAGCCTGATGGCAACGGGACTACAACTCATGATCCGTCTACCACTGACTATATTTCAATTCAGCACTGAGGTTGAACCCGGTTCACCTCATTGGAAGGCGAACTTTTCATTCCCTGAGCCACCACTGCTCTTTGCCCCCTACCTAGTACCATTCTCGAGATAGAGATTGGAAAGCTAACTTCACAAAAGGGCCTGATGGAACTGTAAACGGTCTCATCTTGCCTCATCAGCCACTTTTTTTTACTTAGACATCACTAAGACAATTATAACTGCAATCGTTTAAAAGTTAAGAGAATAATATTTAAATTTTATAGTCACTCTGTATAACACAAATAAAAATCAACAAAATTTGTTTTGTTTTTTTGTCGTCGTTACTCTGTTGATATCAAGGCAATCTTATTATTAAAATATCTGAAATTGAAATACTATCTTTTATAATACCCTCTCTATTCTCTTTTATAATATATTTTTAAAAACCAAAAATTAATAAAATCAATAAAATTATAGTTCTTACTTATTTATTTATTTATTTTAAATTATCGTTTATTTCAATAGCATTACTACTAGTTCTTGTTTGATCGCATCTATTTAGTCTGTTGAAAGATTTTTAAAATGAAAGAATCATCTTTTCATCGAAACGGAAATCGATATTTAGGCAATGGTTAGCTTATGGTTAGCGTATAACTCACTTTCAACGCAGTGACAGTTGTGATGACATCATATGACGAATGCTTTTCTGCTATTAACGGAACTATTTATCTCTTATGAGGAAATACACTTTAGCTAAGAGAGTATGCTTCGAGAATTCGTCTTCTTCTATGTCTCCTTTTCCTCAAATTTATTATCACTTAATGTTTCGTTCTTGAAAGAAATAAACAAGTCGAGTTTTATCACCTATTAATTGGAAACATCAAGTGGTTCAACAAGCACTGGATTGTTTTTTCTTTTTTCTACTCAGAATATTTTAATACAAATTGTCATCTCACTATCGCATAAAACGTCACTATTTAAAACAGTGTATACTTTTTAAGAGAAGAGTGATATGCGACAAAATAATAAACAAAACTGCTTTCATAAAACACTGAATAAAACATTCTTCATGTTACGCTGAACAAAACTGTCCTCATAAAATACTGAACATAGCTGTTTACTTGAAACGACGTGGAAAACTGTTTTTCAAACACTGAGTAAAACTGTTTTCATGAAACGCTGATCAAAACAGTTCGCGCGAAAGATTAAATAAAATGAACGGTTGTCATAGTAAGAGAAATATTTAAAGGCTCTTTTTGTTATACAGTGGAACCCCGGTTTTACGTCGTCCGTTTCGTAAGCTATCCCGCATTCTACGTCATTTTCTGTTGGTCCGTGAAAATTGCCTATACCGATTATTTTAAATTATCCGGTATTTTACGTTACTATCTTTTTAAGATAATCCTGCTTTTTATGTTTTTCTAAAAGATCAAACTCATGTTTCCACGATTAAGTTCTCACAAACGTTTTCTGAGTTCTTTCTTTTCTTTTCTTTTTCTTCTATTTGAAGCTGTTCTGACATTCATTCCATTCTATCTTATCGTTCTTTTGTCTGTGAGAGGGGATTTTCCCCTAAGTCAAAATCCGAAGTGCCGGCGGGATAAGCACAGGAAGGGTAGTTATAGTTTATCTATGATAAGAACTCCCCCCACCACAAAGTCTGAGGCCGTCTGCTGCTATGGAAACAAAAATAGCCCATTTCAGGGAGGGTAGCTTCTCTTCCCTCTAGGGCTAACATAATAGACCGAAGAAAAATATTCCCTTTCTCTCGTCGACCTGAGCCAAAACCTGTCCTAAACAGCGACCCTAATTCAAATAGGCATACCTCGTTACTATAGTCACCGCCACTGGCCCAGACGATTGGCTAGGGGAGTTCTTACTTTATACAAACTATAAAGGAAGTATGGAAGCTTTAATTGCGAATTTGCGAATCTCATTCCCTATACCTATAATAATTGCGAATCATGCTTAAATTGTGAATCATGTATCTCATTCCCTATACCTATAAAATGTTAATGAACTCAGAACATTTGTCTATAAATAATATGATAATTGATGAAAAACTTTTTAAAAAAAAGTGCACGCATGCTCATTAAATTTTGTGTGTAAACAATCTATATTATATGAAACGCTAATACGTACGTATGTATCAATAAAACCGATGATATTTCTTTTCTCGCGTTGGCAACAGTTTTCATTTTTAATTGATAGGATTCGGTGCGCAAGAGCACGTAGTGAGTATCATATGTCTAATCGGGTGAATTCTCACCGAATTATCAAAAAAATTCTCACAAAATTATCTTCATCGAAGCCGATGCTTTACATCCGGCGTTTAGTACTATTTCATATTGTTTTACAACACATGGTTTTAACCCTCTGGTGGGAAAGACTTTAAAACAAAACTTACAACAGTTACTTTTCTCAACAACTGAAATTTAGAATAGTGTAATTAAGAAAAATATGCGAATTGTTTTCAATCTCAAATTAATATTGAAATGCACCGGTTTAGAAATTTCTACAGGGAAAAGTTTTCGGAACTTCAGTGTTAAAAAAAAGTATACAAAAGCTAGACGTTAAGAACGTATCCAATGAGCGAGCAAAGCGAGCATCGGATTGCGAAGCAATCCGAAATGAACTGCGAAAGCAGTTCCGGGGGTTGGCGAGTGCCAGCGAGCAGGGGGCGAAGCCTCCTAGTAAACAATAAATGTCATGATGGCACTTATGAAGATGAATATAACTGTCACTTATAGTATAGTTACGTGTTGTAAAAGCAACACAAATAAAATGGTATCTCATTCTCTCAATTCTCTCTTTTTTCTTATTCTCTAAGGAAAGAACCAAGACTGGCCATTTGGACTGATATTTTTATTTATTTTGTCCATTTTGTAGTAATTATCAAGTTATAAATTATATAGAACTGAAATTTTTCTCTTAAATACATAGCCAAGTTACATTCAGGCAAAATTAACAGTTGACTGTAAAAGTTTGATTTAAGTTCATTTTTACTCCAGAATCAAAATCTTTAATATTTGTGTTTTTTACTTTAAAAAAATTAAAAGATTTAATTAAAATATTCAACTAAAAATTCCAGTTTTGTAACAAAAAATTACAAAGCTTTTCTTAACAACATTATCGCACTTTACAATTTATTTTTTAAGATAACAATTTGTTTACAGCATTAAAATTCCAACGAAAATTTGTTTAAAATTTATTATCTATAAGGTATTTTAAAGGTGAATATTTGCTTTGTAGCCTGATGCTAACAGGCTCAAATCTCGAAAAAGATATATCTTCGAGATATTTTTTTCTAACTTGTACTTTCTTCAATTTGATAAGGGCTTTATAAGCCGTACGCTGGAATGCACAAAACTACGTATATTTGAGTACAATAAACACCAATAAAATAATTCTTCCATGCTCTCATTTAACAAAATTTGTGACATTTATGACATTCTTTACAAACCATTTGCATTAGCTTACATTTTATTGATTCATGTCATTGTATTGATTATTCTAAAGCAAATAGGTGAAATAAATTTATTTTTATCACTTCCTAACCAAAATAACTATTTAAAAATAATGATTTGCGAGTGATTCTTTAAGAACTTTTCTTGTAAATCAGTCAGATAGTTATAATTTACCTTGTATTTGGATTTTAAAAAAAGGGAACAACACATTAGTGATTTTTCTTTTTTACAATAATTTAAAATATTTTCAAATCATGAGCTTTAAACTTTATATCAAATAATGCTTGTTTTAATTAGTCTAATAAAGAATTAACCTTTTAGAAGAGGCACTATTCTACCCCAGCAGGTAATGGCACCTTTTCTGTTGTACTGGCCCAATGCTAGTTCCATGAAGAAGAGTGGAATACCACCGACTGCCAGCATGATGGTATAAGGAACCAAAAATGCACCTACAACGAAACAGAACTGTTATTTCCATAAAACAACAAAAATCAATATACAGGTTGTAATCAACACACTTAAAGGTTATTAAAAAATTAACTAATTAGAATATGAGAAGTAACAATTCATTTTCAGTGAGGAAAGATAATAAAGAAGAGTTATCCAGGGTGCGTAGCCAAACTCTTAACAAAAAACAAGCACATTCATAGTACTTTTTAAGCACCCTAAAAATATTTTTAAGCACTATATACATTAACAAAATACAAAATAATTTTCAAACACTTTACATGATCATGATAAAATAATCAATTTCTTACAAAGAACTCTTTTTCTTGATCATATTGGCCACCATAAAAAGATCGAGAGATTTTTCGGTTCGATTTCAGAGGGTGGAAAATGAAACCTGAAATTGAGAATGCAGCAGAATTGCACATAAGAGTGCAAGAATCTCACCGAACTCAGCTCAATAGTCACCCCTAAGTATTTCATCAAACATGTACCGATGGCACGCCGAAATGGCTTTTAAAAAAGGGCTTTTTAAGGGCTTTTAAAAAACGAAAATCGAAAATAAGCATCTTTAAGCACTTTAAAAAAAACGCTACGCACCTTATTATCAGTATATCTCATGACCACCATAATATTTCCTCCTCACTCGGGGACGCTGGACCAAAGAATATAGCGAAGTTCTGATTCACGCGCAGATGCATGACCACAACAGAGCTGCTTAACACAAAGAAGTCTACTGTTTCCCATCCTTCACGATAAATGACACCTCTAGATAAACTAAGACACATTCCACGGTTCATTTGATAAAACACAACTCAGCTACAATTTTACTCCAATATCCGTTACCTAACTATTAGTTGGATAACGGCATAAAATAGTTTAGCATACATTTTAAAATTGAATTTAACTGGACTCCAATGTCCAGCTAAATTTAAATTTTTACGGATTTGAAATCATGCTAGTTGTAAATACTTACAAAATCACGAAGTTTTGTTTTCACTCGTTTTTAACCATCAGATAGTTGTAAACGGTTTTAAACTTAAAGAGTGTGGCCTATTAGTAAACTTTAAGGTTAATTGAAAGGACAGTTTGTAGATAGTCATTTTACCGTAACTTATTGAAAATATTAACATTGTACTGAATAAGTATCAATAGAATTAGATATCTTTTGTCTAAATTGATCGTTAAATTATTTCCATTCAAAAAAATGTAGCTAATTTTGAACCAAAAATAATTGCTGACACTTTTTAAAATACTTTAAAAGTTATTAATCTATTTATGCAAATTACTAATTTGTATAATTCTGTACTAAAGGACTGCACACGCTGCACGCTCCACTAACCAACCCAGTAATTGCTTCTTATTTATCATTACTTTTTTTTTTCTTTTTCCGTTCAATTATTTTCACAAAAACTTAGAATATTTTGTAACAAAATATACAAATACTGTAGTAATATTTAAAAACATTTTGTCAATATGTAAATTATTACGAAATTGTGAATTATTACGTGAATTATTATTATATTATTACATGTGACTTATTACATGTGACTTATTACGTGGATTTGAAAAATAATTATCCGAAAAAATTGAACCTGAATATTGATTGTGTAAAGAAGAAATAAATGAAAAGTAATTTTATTCATTAACGTGACTTAAAAAAGTTTAAATAGGTAACAGCTTTTACTTCAGGTAACAGTTTTTATTTCAGTTATAACAGTTTTTATTTTTAAAAAAATCACTGTTAAAGATAAGATTTATATCTGCTATTAAGATTTATATTAACGTTTAATCTCTCCTTTTTTTAATTTTTAAAATCAAATCTAGCGCGAGCTTATAAAATAAAGATCACGGGAGAGAAAAATAACGTTTTCTACGGTAATAAAAAAATAGTCAATATTCAAAAAAAGAAAAGAAAGAAAGAAAGGAATAGAAAAAAAAATTTCTAGAAAAAAGCACTTACAATTGCAAAAATAACTTTTAAACAAATTGCAATTTCGAAAAAAATCGAGTTAAGTTCAAATACAAATGACTCTTTAAGAGAATCGAATTCCACACCCTAATTGCATATCATTGGTTAGCAGATCGTTCCGCATGGTATTTTTTACTACAAGCTTAACAATTAATAATGCTCTATCTAGTTATCAAAAGTTAATTTTTTTTTATTCAATCACACATTTCTCGAAACGTTCTCTCAAATATCAAGTTTACGCAGCAAAACTAAGTGGCCAGCAATAGCGCTTAAGATTTTTTAATACGGCGAATAACAGTTTTAAACGTAAGTTAATCACAAGTTTTTTTTTATAGTTTGGCATTTTTTATATTATAAGCGTCGTTGACCAGTCATTCCAATTCTGAGTTCACGAGTACCAATGTTCAACTCCGTATCCTTGTAATTTTGAGCCCAATCCAGAAGACAAGAGAACTCCTGTAGCAAGTATCGGGTGAAATTTGTCTTCGTGGAGGAGTTTTCGACGAAACTAACCCGAATTTTTTTATGAAACTAATAGTTTTGATGGAACTATTTGGATGTTTAACCATGGTTTTCCTCTCCGTGAAACCATTGCATTACATGTTACATGGAGAGGTAAACCACGGAAATCTCCCACGGTTAGCCTGACGGCAAGGGGACTCTAACCCATTTTGATCTGTCTACCCAATAAGGATATTTTACGTCAGCACTGTGATCAGTGCGCGTGGGTGCAGAATTCATATTGATCAGCCATCACTGAGATCAAACCTGGGTTCGCCTCATTGGGAGGCGAGTGCTCTATCCCCTGAACCTCCATAACTCGTGTTGTTCACTAGGAATAGAAAAAAGAATAAATAAAATGTAGAGCAATTCTTTTTAAAAGGTTCATTTGAAAAGACTGATTCCTTATAACCCGTGCCCCGCGTTTTTAACAGATCTGATCTGAGACGAACACGAATTAATTTTCTTAAAAGATATATGTTGAATATCAAGTGAAACCCAATCGAGCAAAAAAATTAGAAATCAGTGATAAATGTAAGTCAGCGGAAATGCTCATGAATAAGAATGAAATATATGTTTCTCGGCTTTTAATATCTTCCCCCAGTTTGAATGAGTTATTCATTTTACATCCATTTGACTCGACCTCCACCAATTGAGTTTTATTGGCAAAGTTTCTCTTCAAATATAAACACGAGAATAAAGCCTTGAAAGCTCCGAAAGACGATGTTTACAACTGACAAGATTTTATGCCTATACTCTCGTGCAAATGTTCAAATAAAAGCTTTTGTTGGGTTTCTACAAGATAATCGCGAAAAACTTCGATTTTATATCATTTGTAATTCTAGTTTTTAATGGTAGTTGATTGTTTTAACTAAAAAATCAATTTTGATGAATTTTTCTCCCCAACAGAGAGAATGAAAATCGGAGGAATTATGCATAGTCATGTTTTTTTTTTTTTTTCATTAGACGGCATTTTAAAACTAAACTATTCCTTAGAATTCTTTCCAGGTAGGTACTTTTTAAGTTTTCGAAACTTACACTAGATATCAACACAATACACTATGAAATATCCTATTTGCTGCATGGAAATCGTAATGTTTTACAACAAAAATGCAAAATGAGGTGGCTTATCATTACATTACCAGAGTCAACTTGAACAAAAGCTACTCACGCAAATTATAAGTTCTCTCTCTATGTCTATAAATTACTTGTCCAAATATAATTTCCAAGTAGTATTGAAATGCAGTAGTAAAATATATGCCAGGATGTATATGTTGCCCACATTTATTTAGAACTTCATTTTTGGAAGACTATCAGAATAAATACTAGACTAAAATGCATAAGTATAACTAGACTAAAATGCATAAGTATAACTAGACTAAAATGCATTAGTATAACTAGACTAAAATGCATAAGTACAGCTAGACTAAAATGCATCCATACAGATAGAGAGCAATCCAGAAGTACCTACGAAAGCAATTCCGAGGGTTGGCGAGCACAACGACCAGGGGGTGGAGGTCTCCAGTAATTTTAAAAAGATAATTTAAAATTTTCTGCGTTAAAAGCTAATAAGCTGCATTGTCTGGGCTCATAAAAATTTGCAAAAATGGGAACAAGACATTGATTTTGAAACTTTTTAGGTGGAAAAATGTCGCCAAATCGGCAGTTTTTAAAAAAGTTGCTTCAAGTGCAAGGCGCCAAAACTGCGTCTTTTTTCCTTGGCAAAAGAATTTCGAAAAACGTTGTTAATTGATCAAATTCGTCGACAGTCCAGCATTTAAAACAACTGTTTCATTACAATATTACATTTCATGCAAATCAAAGACAATACACTTCTTAACGAAATCTCTAGACGTTTTTTTAGAGATCTCTTTCATCCTAATATCATTCATGGAATTTGCAAAAAGGAGATGAACATTTTTCATCATCATTGATTAATAAATTGTGATGCGAGGATGGATATTTAGAGAAAGATACTCTCATTAGGGATAATGATCCTCAGTCTAATTATAGAACATCCTGAATGAGAGTTCCTTCCTAAGTATAAAAAAATATTAATGAGTGGAAAGTGTCTCTCACAACGAAAACGGTTACTGCAATTGAACTAATTGCTACACACTATAACATAAATGCTTTGCCGATATTTGAAATCGTATGAATGTGCTGTGCGTATAAACTCTTGATAAAAATTATTTATCCCCATTGTTTTTTTTTTATTGGAAATTAAAATAAAGACACTTAGTGTGGTTTTTTTTTTCAATTTTTAAACGTAAGGAGAGCAATATTTATTTTTAAAAATGCAATAATTTTTTTTTTTTTATTTCAAAAATTATTTTTTAGGAAAAATTAAGTTATAAAATTATTAATGAAAACTTTACTACTCACTGGCAAAATGGGTGTTGTTTTGGGTTTACACTATTTAATATTTAAATGTTTTACTCAAATTACTTAGCATACTGTAAGATAATAATTATTGAACTTTGTCTATTCAAAAATAGGAAAGTTATAAAAAAAAAAATTAATATTTTA